AATAACTGCTTCTCTCAGATAGACAACTCACCTTAAGCTATGGACGTGCCGAGAATTGAACTCGGGGCTTTCTGCATGCGAAGCAGACGTGATACCTCTACACCACACGCCCGATGAAAAAGTAAGGTACGCCGCCTTCCGGGACAAATAACTGCTTCTCTCAGATAGACAACTCACCTTAAGCTATGGACGTGCCGAGAATTGAACTCGGGGCCTTCTGCATGCAAAGCAGACGTGATACCTCTACACCACACGCCCGATGAAAAAGTGAGTTACGCCGCCTTCCGGGACAAATAACTGCGTCTCTCAGATAGACAACTCACCTTAAGCTATGGACGTGCCGAGAATTGAACTCGGGGCCTTCTGCATGCAAAGCAGACGTGATACCTCTACAACACACGCCCGGTGAAAAAGTAAGTTACGCCGCCTTCCGGGACAAGTAACTGCTTCTCTCACATAGACAATTCACCCTACGTTATGGACGTGCCGAGAATTGAACTCGAGGCCTTCTGCATGCGAAGCAGACGTGATACCTCTACACCACACGCCCGATGAAAAAGTAAGGTTCGCCGCCTTCCGGGACAAATAACTGCTTCTCTCAGATAGACAACTCACCTTAAGCTATGGACGTGCCGAGAATTGAACTCGGGGCCTTCTGCATGCAAAGCAAACGTGATACCTCTACACCACACGCCCGCTGAAAAAGTAAGTTACGCCGCCTTCCGGGACAAATAACTGCTTCTCTCACATAGACAATTCACCCTACGTTATGGACGTGCCGACAATTGAACTCGGGGCCTTCTGCATGCGAAGCAGACGTGATACCTCTACACCACACGCCCGATAAAAAAGTAGATAACGCCGCCCTCCGGGACAAATGAGTGCTTCTCTCAGATAGACAATTCATTCTACGTTATGGACGTGCCGAGAATTGAACTCGGGACCTTCTGCATGCAAAGCAAACGTGATACCTCTACATCACACGCCCGATGAAAAAGTGAGTTACGCCGCCTTCCGGGACAAATAACTGCGTCTCTCAGATGGACAACTCACCTTAAGCTATGGACGTGCCGAGAATTGAACTCGGGACCTTCTGCATGCGAAGCAGACGTGATACCTCTACACCACACGCCCGGTGAAAAAGTAAGTTACGCTCACGTCATGCCGTTCGCAGTTGATGGAGGTTCTGTGATGGGAGTTTTGGCAATATGTCACGGACGAGGGTGGATCTCACAAACCCATGTGGGAAGCAGTCCACGTCCGTGACGCATTCAGTGCCCGGGATAAAACACGGCTATACCAATCAGCCACCGTGCAGATCCCGGGTGAATGCCCCCCATCTCAGATAGAAAAAAAAAATCTAAACACCGTCACACCCAAGATAGCTCGTCTGATGCCTAACTTAGAGTGCTTGAGGGTTTCCAACAGGAATTCTCAAGCACTCTGGGGGAACTTTCTCTGTTCTTGGGTGTATGTTCCGAAGGTGATCAGACTGGATCACTGCTTTAGCAACGACTTGACGTCTTGCTTTTCTCTTGAAATTCCGTCATCTGTCTTTCGGCTATCCGTGAACTTGCTCTCTTGGGAGACCTTCACTCACGTCATGCCGTTCGCAGTTGATGGAGGTTCTGTGATGGAGTTTGGCAATATGTCACGGACGA